GTAATGCACACGCGTGTAATGTTTGTGCATTCTCTGCCGCATGCGTAAAGTTTGTGGCTTTGAGGTCCGAATTATAGATCATTCCAGATAATGGACATCCAGATTATGGACTTTGTACTGTATAATAAAATTGATTAATAATTAATTGAAAAAGGAGGAGGAGGGCTTTTCCTGGAGGGCTTTTTGAAGCTTATCAAGCGATATGACAAATGTCTCAATGTACTTGGTACCTATGTGGAAAAATAAAGGTATGTCATATCTTTAATGTCTCATTCTATTTTTTGACTTTCATACACAACTCTGACCACAGTCGACAGAGGAAACTTATTTTTCAACTTACCCTCGTAAATATGCAGAAGGAATTTGCAGATATTACATAACACGTGGCTTTCTAGACACATGGAAAATGACCATTATATGGTACTAGGTGCTCAGAAGGTATATTTTAAGTAGTGCACAATGTCTGCGGGTGTAGTCAGTGTATGGTATTAGATTAAACTTGCTCACAGCTTGAATTCCTACGGCTTTTAGAACTTCTTTGTGTGACACTGTACTTAAGGACTGATGGTTGGGTGGCAAAGTATTTGTGTAGGCTGGAGAGGAAAGGTGAGGGGCGCAAACATCCATGGTCCCTGTCCTGTGTAGCATTCAAGGTATATTTATTTTTCTTTCCCGGTAAATATACATTCTTTTGCATTTAAAAAAAAAAAAAACACAAAAAAAACTCTGTGCCGCTGGCTGGTCGGCGCCCCTCTCTTGCTCGACATCCGCCTGCAAAGAAATCCTTGCAGGCCCGCTTCTGCTGGTCCTGTGCAAGGGTAACTATTAATTATCCTAATGTCAAATTACCAAAATTAAAAATTGAACCTTTCAATGGCAAATATGGAAAATGGCAGGGATTTGAGACAGTCTGAAGGTGCAATTCATGAGAATACACAATTATCAAAATTGATAAATTTAACTATTTAAAATCTTTCTTAAAGGTTTCTGCATTAAAATGGTCACAAGGATTGACATTAATGTAAAATAATTACGATTTAGCTGTTGAACTGTTAAAAGAGCGATTTGGTAAAACCGATATTATTGTACATTCACATGTAAACAAACTTTTGGGCTTAACTCCTGTGAAATCATGTTCGAACTTAAAGAAACTGAGACAATGACCATTCAAAGTCTCGAAGCATATGGAATAGAATTAAATAATTGCAATAGAATTCTATTTGCCATTTTAGTAAAATTAATTCCTGAAGATATCGTATTAGAATATAATTTTTCTGTTAACGAAGAAGACTCTTGAAATTGTTCAAAATTACTCCAGTTTCTTAAAAGGGAAATAGAAACAGGTGAGAAAACATTTTGATTTTGCAAGACAGATGAAGCCGATAAAATGAAAATTTTGCAATTCAGGAAATATGAGAATTCTAAATGTCTACCCACAGCAGCGGCATTAAATACTACTACAATTAAAAATGCATGTGTATTTTGTTCTACTGATGAACATACAATCGATAAATGTCCTTTACCTACAAGTGAATGGAAGGCTACTTTATTAAGTCTTGGATATTGTTTTAGTTCTTTAAAAAATCTCATGTTTCTAGATTTTGCCACAATCGAATACGGTACAAGAAGTGTGGTAAAAAAAAACATAGCCATTATATTGTGAGAAGGGATCAGTGACGAAAGGCTTATCGGGAAATGAAATAAACAAAATAAAGATAGATGACGGCAATATAAATCATACATCAAATTATTCTGTTTCAACTCGAGAGGGTTGCAACATATATTTGCAAACAACCATGGGTATGCTAACTAAAGAAAAACAGGAAGTGAAAATTAAATGTTTATTCGATACAGGAAGTGAAAGAACTTTTATTGCTAAACAGATATATTATAAATTAAAGTTGGAAGTGATATGTCAGGAACATTTAAGTACTTTTGTTTTTGGTTCAAAAGCAGAAAAACAATACTGAGTAATCATGTGAAGGTAACTTGAGAAGTGCTATAACTTGAAGGAAGTAATAACTTTAGAAGCTATCGAAACTTTGTGTATTTCCAAAGCTATAGTTAAAGCACCAGGTAGAGAGATTAGTGATTATTTTAAGCAGATGAAAATACAAATGGCTGATGAATTAAATTTCAAAAATTTAAGAATATCTTTGCTAATTGGTTTACACTTTTTTGGGACTATCATTACTGGGAAAATAAAACAAATGCCAGGATCATTAGTAAGAATGGAAACGAAACTTGGATATGTGTTCAACGGATCTAATGCCTCAATCAGATCGGACTCCAGGGAAGTCAGAGTATTGAAAACTTTTGTTCAAAATAAAAAAGTAGAATAAACATAGATTTTAAAGAAGATATTTGATTTAGAAAGTTTGGGAATCACGTGCAATAATAATTTGAAAGATGGTGAGGTTTTAAGGAAATTTGAAAGCTCTATAAAAATGTGTTAATGGTCGCTATTAATTCAGTCTTCCATGGAATGGAAATGTTCAATTTTTATTCGATAACTATGCCATTGCCAAAGGATGTTTTGAATAATTAGTTAATAAATTTAAGATAAATTCTTTCTTAATGAGTACAAGGAAATCATTTTGAAGCATGTTGTAGAAGGAATAGTCAAAAAGTTGTTTCCAGTATGTCTGAAAGTAAAATTAAAGTTTATATACCTCACCAAGCAGTAGTTCATAAAGATAAATTAACTAAAAAAATGAGAATTGTTTTTGATGCATTTTCTAGTGTAATAAACACCATTTCCCTTAACGACAGCCAGATTTGTTGGTCTTATTTCTGCAAATCAGATTGAACAGGATCACCTTGACAGCTGATATTGAAAGTGATAGCATTAGCACTGGAAGACAGAGATGTGTCAGATTTCTGTGGATTAAAGATGATACGAACATGGAACCAGAAGTGCTGAGAATGACATGGGTTATTTTGGACTAAGGCCGTCAAGTCCATTTTTGCCAGGTGCAAATTGAAACATCACGTAAGTAAGTATGAAAAAGACTGCCCAATTGTGTTCCAAATCCTAAGTAACAAATTATATGTTGATGACCTTATCCATAGTTTGCAAGAAACTGCCTTTGAAGTACATTGGCAAGTGAAGTTTGTTTTAGGAGAAGCTGGATCACGGGATTTGAACCTCGGATCGAACTACCAGTGTTCAACAACTTTACCGCTCGGCCGCTGGTGGGCTTGAAACAACTGAACTAGATTACTTAGGACCATTATATATTAAAGATCGAGATATTATGAAGACCTATGTACTGCTCTTTACCTGCACCATAACTAGAGCGGTAGATTTGAAACTGACTCTTGACTTAACATCTCAGTCATTTCTACAAGCCTTTAGAAAATTTGTTGGAAGTGTGATCTATAGTGATAATCCAAAGACATTCACTCCACAAGGCAAACTGAGAACTGAATCTGCTGTAGAAAATCATGAGAGGGGAAGAAGTGCAAATTTGGGAAGTTATCTATCACATGGAAATTTATTTTCGAAAGAGCCGCCTGGTGGGGTGGTTTTTGGGAACGCTTAGTAAGGTCAGTTAAGATGTCTCTGAAGAGAATCTTAGGAAGAACATCAGTTTAATTTCAAGAACTGGAAATTATATTGATAGAGACAGAGGCTGTTATCAACTCTAAGCCTCTCACTTATGTTTTCAGCAAACCAAATGAACCAGAACCCCATTTCTTAATTGCACGCTGATTAACTTTCCCTCAAGCGATTAATGGAATTAAAAGAATTCCTTCCTCTGAATCTCAACTTTTGAAGATGAGAAGATACCAAGAAAATGTACTTAATCGAATTTGTAAAAGATGGAAGACGTTAGTTCACCAATCATAATCAGTAAACCGGCCCACAGAACTTCCAAGAGAACACTGTGGTTTTGATAAAAGATGACAGTGCACCTAGACTTGTATAGTGAATGGGTATTGTGACAAAATTACATTCTGGATGTGATGGTCATGTCCATGCATGCACCATGAGACTTTCGAATGGAACTCTCATTGGGAGACCTGTGCAACTATGTCCTCTGGAACTCTCAAGTCAACATTTAATGAACATTTGCATCTCCTGACGAACTGTTGCAAACTCAGCCAAAAGGGGGCGATAGTGAACCCTTGAATTTAAAACTGATTTATTTACTTTTATCTTTAGAATGTAGCTAGATGTGCAAGATGTGTTTTATCAAGTGAATTGTCCTCATTATAATGTGTCAATAAAGGATTAAAAGCCAAGTAATTTCCAGTTACTCTTTTTAGAAGCCCTGGAGATCAAGAACGAGGTAAGAGCTTTATTAATTATATCAGATTTGTTTTAATTGGTACATTACTTTACTTTCATTTAATTCTTGTGCATAAAATGTATTTAAGTTGTATAAAATTATGTTTATTATTAAGTTCATGAAAATTATAACATAAAAAGCACATTTACTGAAGTTAAATTATATATTACTTTTGCTTAATATTGCACATAATTTAAAGATGGGAAAAATATCTTAACTATATTAAAGTTATAATTACGGATCCTACCTCTACGAATGACTAACAGAAATAATGAAAAATATTTTATAACTAGACAATTTCTTTCATACAAAGAATAAGAGCAATTGACCATATAAAGAAGAACCTGTCTTCTGCCAACATTCATGCTAATGAAAATTATAATTAACAATTTTATTACACTATCAGTTCAAGATTATTATTTTATTAATGAAATTTACTATTCAGACATAAGCTATTTTAAGATCATTATTTGGAATTTAAGCAACATTGCTAAGAGATGACAGAACTTCATTTATCTGAAAACAAATCCTAGTTTAGAAAAAATGTCAATATAATTATTAAGCCTGGTAATTCTCTTATTCGCATAACACACAAGAAAAGAAAAAGCAATGGCTTGGTAGAAAAAAAAAAGTTCCCAGAAAAACCAATGGACTTTTAAAAGATTTGTTTTAGTTCAATTTTTAAAGAAATCAAAAATAACTTACCTTCGAAAATGTGTTGTTTTCCTGCCAGGATAAATTTCTGTATATGTAAAATACTTATTCCAGTCAAATAACTTTAATAATTTCCTGGCTCCTTCAGGCCAATCAGTCCTGAAATACATTCATTATAAAACAATTTTTTTCATAAACAATATTACTAAAAATTACTGATATATAATAATCAAACTATCAAAAATATTAACTCTTTTGAAAAGTTATTCAACATATACAAAAATCTATTAAGGTGTTCTAATATTAGTTTTCTGATAACCATTTCTTTTGAAAAGTTATTCAACATATACAAAAATCTATTAAGGTGTTCTAATATTAGTTTTCTGATAACCATTTAATTAAATAAGAGGAAAAACTGATAACAAACAAACGTTTCATTTACACTCCACATTGCACAAAAAATAAACATTTAAGTATAATTAAATATGATTTCAAAATAGCTACAGAAACATACAGTATTTGAAATAGAATTATATCCCTACTATATATCCTTCACATCAAACTTTGCAGATCATTAAATTTTGTAACAATGCACCACTATAGATTAAAATATTGATCTCTTTTTTAATCACTACAAAAACAGAAATCTTTGGCTAGAAATTAAATATGATTTTGAAGGTACAATAATGAGAAGGTCACAGGAAAGATAGAAATCATGAAAATAGGAAGCTGCTTTTCATATTCAAGAAAATAAAAAGACACTCAAGATTATGTTGGTAGCAAAAATCTTGATAATGTTTTTAATTTTATTTAAAAAATTTGTCAAATTCTTTCAATTTGAAACTTAATAAAGGAAAGAAAAAATATTTACCATTTTTGGGGGCGCTTGTAAATTTTGATTCCCCGTCATAAATGCTTCATTATTTCATATTTTAAATTTTATAATTGCTACATGTTATCTTATTAGATTTAAACTAATGCTCTAATATCCTGAAAAATTTCAAATCTGGAATCACCAAAGTCCAAGTATTGGACTTTGTAATGTATACAGTAATGCAATTCTCACTACGATTACAGTCGGGTTTTTCAAAACTGTAGCCCAACAGCTTTGTAAACAAAGCAGTTGGATTGTAAATTTTAAAATTTATATTTAATATTGCTTAAAGTAATATATTTTCATAAACATATACGATCCACTTTTTAAATATTCACTCTTAGAATGCTTATTAACTGTTCTGATTTTTTTGCAATCATTTGTCTACATCCCATACTTTTATCTTACTCAATAATTGAAATTTGCTTAGAACAAAGAACAACTACTTTTGGTATACATTATAAATTCCGGACTCGTTGGGACTTTGATTCCGGATTTGGGATTTTTCCAGCTATTACACCATTAGGTACTTTTCCGTTTCGCCGGCAAAAAAACCAAGCAGACTTTGTTCGTGACAACATACAGTATACACATAAAAAAAAGTTAACAAATGTTAATTCTAAGAATTTGTTATTTTGAAGGCATAAACATTTTAATATTGTTTAAAATTTTGTAAAAGCCAATAAATTTGTAAAAGACAAATTAATTTAAGAATTTTACTACGCTATGGTTCAAATCCTGATTCGGCGGTTCGTATCACGTGACCCAATGACCTCATCTCACGTAAACTACGCTACAAAATTCTAATCCTCAGATTATCTACATTAATTTCAAGTTAAATCTTAATTTGGAATACGTTTAAATGCAAGTTATTTCAATTCGTACAAATAGCTTACTCAAAAATTATGTAAAACCGCAGTGCTTTACTTCGCTATGCTTCATTAAAATTCTAATTCTAATTTAACTTTGATTTTGCCTTCCTATATTTTTTCGCCTTCGGGTGAGAGTGTGATTGCATTCTAATTGCTTAATTACGCGAAATGTCTTAGGGGGTGCATAATTCTACATAATTGTATGCCAGTATTGAAAACAAACAAGGCATAAAATTTCACTACCTTCAAAAATCTACATAATTGTATGCCAGTATTGAAAAAACATAATTAAGAAATGCTGCGACTTGTTTTGCAAATGAGGTTAAAGTTAGACAATAAGATATTCCGTTTGGCATCAGTTGTATTATTGGGACTTTAGTTTGCGCCGGCAAAACGGAAAAGAATGACCATTAGTTTAAATCTAGTAAGATGGTATGTAGTAATTATAAAATTAAAAATATGAAATCATGATTTATGAAATAAAAGTATTAATGATCTACAGGGTATCAAAATTTACAATAAAAAAAGCTTAATATTTATTTGTTTACCTTATTAAACATTTCTTTCAATATAAGTTGTTTAAGTTGCTTCATTTTTTGCACTAACACTTTCTCTTTAATTCTGTAGACAGATATAATCTTATTAATAAGTTGTTTAAGTTACTTCATTTTTTGCACTAACACTTTCTCATTAATTCTGTAGACAGATAAAATCTTATTAAACATTTCTTTCAATTTAAGTTGCTTTTTTTTGCACTAACACTTTCTCTTTAATTCTCTGTAGACAGACATAATCTCTTGTTTAGTTACTTTGTTGAAGTCCTGTAACTGCTGTTTCAAGAATTCCGATTAACTTGTAAATCGAAATTTTCTCATTTTCAGTAACTTCTCTGTCACTTTCTTCACTATCGTTAGCACTATTTTCTGCATCTAGATTTTGCCATTCATTATTTGATTGATGATTGAGAAGCATTGTCATCACAATGAAAAACTTCTTTTATAGCATCTTCATTTATTACCTCTTCTCCATATTTCTTTACAAAATCCATTAATTGGAAAATTTCACCGTTGTTTTGCGATATCCGAAAACCTTTAAAATTAGCGGCTATCGTCATCAAATTTAGCTTTCCTTCACTACATTTTTGGCTGGGCATCATGAGCTTGGCGACTAATGACAAGTTGTTCTGTTAAATTTTATCTTGTTTCTATCGCACACTGAGACAATTAAGCCTGAATTTTATTAGTTTAGTTATTTATTATAATTATGTCTACTTCTTGCACATGCTTAAGGCTTATCAGGGTTCCGAATAAATAAATTTCCACAAATACTTAAGCCTTATTGAGGGCCCGCGCTAGATATCTTCTTGCCTGATGCAGTCTCTGTGGGTCCTAAATTCTAGGACTCCTTGTGACCTATGGGCCCTGGTGCTGGTTCTGGTTTATGTGAATAACAAATCAGTTATTCTTAATTCAAATAGCCCTAAATGTAATCTTTGGGTCTATGAGTATCATCAACAAAATTTTTTTTAGCATATGTAAAGAAATTTTTGGTAAATTTTTCCTCATCAACATTTTTAGTGCATTTAACTTAAATCTGTAATCATCGCCAAGCATAATGTCAACATAAAATGTTACCATACTCCTTTATTATTCAATTACTTACATAAAAATAGGTGTTTATGCATTGCTACATGAGTCATTACTCAAGCTGTCATGTTTTAATAAACATACAGTGATGAAAGGAAAGTATAATAAATAATGATTCGCCAGGTCATAAAGGTATAATAAATAATTATTCGTCAGATCAACGATGTATCAATGTGGAATGTTTCGGTTTGAGATGCGTGCCAAAGCAGATACGTAGCAACAGAACCAAATTACTGATCGTACAAATTTATGCTAAAATAATTTTCTTTAATATTAAGGTATTTTATTTAGTGTCGAGTGAAATTAAGAATCGGGACTGTCCAGATGTTTTATTATGCGCGGAGGGGGGAATTCAATAGTCATACGTAAAGCCTACGAGAAAAACGGTTTTGGAGGTTTTGAAGTCCGGATTTTAGATCATTCCGGATAATGGACGTCAGGATTTCGGACTTTGTACTGTACAATAGACTCCAAGTTTATCAACTTCTATCAAAGATGAATAAATAAATGCACACTTAATCTAAACTTACATTTACTTGTAGTTCAGATTAAAAAATATGTGTTCTTGTTGAATAAGAAAATTTATTAATCATGTATTTTAAGCTAAAAAATTAATAATCTGGATCTTTAAAATTTTCAGTTCTTATTTTGATGCAAAATTCAGTCACAGTTAACAACCATTAATTGAAGTATAAATTAAAGGCATTATTTTTTAAACAAAGTAATACATTAGTTGTAAACATACTTTTAACAATTTCCAAAAATTAATAAATTTGTTAAAACTATCTAAAAAATAAACTAGTATAAATTTTAAGTCCAATAATGTGGAGACTTAAATACAGACCTAGATGCTACACCAAGGATATAACCCTCTTGTTTCAACTTCTCTAAAACTTCAGGCACTTCAGGGTAATATTTGATTTTTTTCCCACAACCATCAATAACACTATTGCTAAATGATAATAAATAGTTTATAATAATTCGAATTCAAAATATACATCATAATTTCAAAATAAATAACTGGTTATAATAATACGAATTCAAAATATATATCATAATTTCAAAATAAAATATTATAACTGATCTTCATATAGTTATTCCTTCATCAGGAACCATTCAAACTATGGTACTGTTGTCTTTATTACCATAGGATTAAGGCTAAAAGTCATCAAGTCTATAGCCAGTCAGTGAAGATAAAATTGTGCATTCATAATGTGCAGAAAAACTGCTGATTGAATGCAGTTTCATGTTTGCTTCTCTATGATTGGTCAGTTCTTAAAACTAACTTGGCTTGAGGAATATACTAATTTTTGTGACATAGCAAGGTCTGGTTGCCTATATCAGCTTGTTTTTTATCATATTTGAACGAAGCCTTATATAAAAAGAGAAAAAAATGAAAATTAATCATCTCTGAGAGACTTCATTTTTATTCAAAAGGCAGTGATTAAGTTATAATTTAATAGTTAACAGGTATTAAATGTTGTAGGTAAATAGAAGAGATGATTACGAACAGTTAAACTTAATCTATTATTAAGAAATAAACTGCATAACAACACATGTGCTGGATTAACGGAACAAAACTTTCTTGGCTACTCAGTTTCTGAGTCCGTAACATCAAATATACTGATTGAAAAAATATGGCCAAAATTACATTCAGTTCTTTTTAAACATGAATGATATTTTAATGAAAACATGTTATCTAAGACTAAAGTACTCATACTAGTTGTGATTGTTTGCCAGCTTCTGTACTATGGTCGCTACTAATCGAAAAAACTTCAGTCCTAGAACTTTGTACGTGTACTACAAACATCTGGAATTTGTAATAAAAAAGAAGGGGGCTACTGTATGCTGCAGAGGCTAAAAATAATGGTAAGGATTGAGTTTTATATATAGCAGAACTCATTCATATGAGTATAGTTAATTAAGATTATAGCAAAAATAAGCACGAAGATTTATGTGTTTAATGAAAATGAAAAGACTATCTCAGGAGATGCAAGTCTCTTCACTTGTTTCGGGAACATACTATATCCTGAATAAGAACAGTTAACTTACTGAAGCTCTGTTTCAGATTGTGTGGAATAGACGACACAAGCAGGAAGGATATACGAAACTCTTTATTCTCTATTACTTTACATGTACTCCCGAACTTTGGGATACAGATTCGGGATACCTTCTTAAATTGTGGTCTGAACGTAAAAAATATAAAACTACTAAGTAAAACTCTAACTAAAAGCTAACTTTGAATTAGTATACAAATGCCTAGCACTAAGACTGACCTTTATTTAAAAGGGTACGTATGTAGTATGCCATGCTGCTGAAACTACAATACGTTTTCAAATATCAAGAGGGCTAAATTTCTGGTCTTAAAGGCAAACAGCAACCGAGTGAAAAACTCGTAAGACTGCAGTGGCAAGCGGCTCACTTCCTAAATCTCCTTCTCTCTCTCCCTCTTGGCAAAAAGACACAAATACTTGGGCATTAGCAAGACAATTTGCATAGCCAAGTTAAAGCATTTAATTCTGGCCGGAAGTAGAAAATAAGAAGTGATAGCATAGTTTTAAAATAAAAATAAATGTTAGTAAAACTTAGAATCCTTACAACTATTCTAACAAAAACAAAAATTTTGATTCTTAAACTAGGCTTACTATCCAATTAATTACATTAGGGTTCTCATGCCTAAAAAGTGAACAAAAGAAACATTTCAATAAAATACATAGAAGTTTTGTCCTGATATCAAAACTGATTTTTTTTTCCTTTCCTGGTATGAAAACAGATTTTTCCCCCCTTACATATACAATCTAAATATTTGAATAGAACTTTTAACCAAACAATAAGTAGGAAGCACTTTTCTCTCTTTAAATATTTGAATAGAACCTTTAACCAAACAATAAGTAGGAAGCACTTTTCTCTCTTTACCATATGCAAATTTGGTACTATTCGGTTTTGAGGACCGTAAAAAATCGCCAATCTATTGTTGACGACAGTGCTGCCAAAAATAATTGCGGCAACCCTAACGCAAGAAAGGAAGTACAGTAGTAAATAACTATCTAAAGATTATTGTTTTAATTTAGATGAAAGGTTAACATCATATAAATACTTTTTTTATTATTATACTTTATATAAAAAGGCTTAAGATGTGATGGAAGCATAAGAGTAATTATTTCAGATCATATTATAATTATATAAAATGCTAAACATAACTAATGGTGCCTGCATACCTATTTACATGATTACCATAAAGCTATTCCACCGTTGTTTATACAACATATTTCTACAAGGTTGATGCCTTTCTTTGAAAAATCTCTGTAAAAGGCAGAATGCCCCACTATGTGTCCGCTTTTTACAAGGGAAAAACAATTGCATTTGTAATTTTATTTATTTTTCAAGGGAAACTGGTCGATGTGTAATTATAAAGTCAAGGGTGGGTGCACAAGCATTTTGTGCAATTCTGGATTGTTTTAAAAGTGAAAAAAGAGATGTGTACATGGATACAAGTATGTGCAATTCTTAAAAATGCGTCAAGCAGTGGGTGGATTCTGCACTTTACCCATAATTCTATTGCAGACTTTTCGTCATCGGCAATTCTCAAATTGTGAAATCCATAGGATATCAAAAAAGCATTTAAAAATTAAACTAGTATTTTAATGCCGTCTTAAGAAATATAGAACTACATAAACTTACACAATCTGAAATCAGTGCTTACGTTAGATTTTGCACGCTGTTAAATGGGAGTGTTTGCTAGATTTGCCGCTTTTGCGCATACATTTTCGCAGCACTTTTTTTTACGGTCCACAAAACAGAATAGTACCATTACTTTTTATTTTGCATATCATTAATCATTTTCAAATTATATCATATTTCACTTTGGAATAAAGAGTTTAATGTTTCATCGTACAAATGAAAACATGTGGAGTAGACCTACCTTTTATCATTTTTGTGCTTATTGGAAATATATTAGCACAAAACACATTAAATAGGCAAGTACTTGAGGTCAGACAGTTGTCATACCGACAGCTAATGAGTAAAGTGTCATGAAACGGCATTAAAACTGTGTGCGTGCTCCAAAGTGATTTAACATTAGCTCTTCATACTGCTTCCCTTCATAGTTTAAATTGGGAATTAATGCATCAATCTATTTTATTTCACATTATTCCATGTACTGTAAGAACATTTTCATAAAGATGAACTAAGATACAACATTAAAAGTTACACTAATTTCACTTACAAGAATCATGAGAAAATTTTAATTTTTTACAACCTACTGCCAGTAGTTAATGACATATTCTCCAAGCAGTTAGGGAAACAGGTGAAAGCCAGCTAGTCTTTCCTAGCATAAAGCCAGTAACACTCAAGCTGCTCCCATTTCTGCCAAAACATGACTTGAATGTTGCGTGATTTCAAAAGAAGTAAAATTATGTTCCTTTCAATGCTTTTTAAAAATATGCTTTAAAGTGCTAATACATAAAATATTAAGGGCCCTGGAATCCACTGATACCACACCATTGTCAGAGTTCTATGGTTAATTAATATATCAAAATTTTTATGTAACACTGATATGATTAAAATTCTACACTTTGATAGAATGTACACCTTCTTCATGTGATTCATGTTTTTTAACATTTTTTATTAATTCAGATATTCCAAGTAATTTCTACTACAAGCAAATTATTAAATATCTGGCCTCAACTATATTTTATTTAAATACTGAAATTTTCAGTTTACAAAACATATAAAAGTAATATTTTTTGCTTATCTTGTTCTATTCCTTTTAACTGAAATTTTTCAATAAATATAAAAAATCTTACTTTTCTTTCTTAAAAGGACTTGTTAAATTAGTATCAACCCAAAATGGCCATAATGTGTAATCTATAAAAAAAAAAAAATTTTTTTGTGTTAAAAAATAATGAATAATGAAACAATGTGCATTAATGGAAATATACGATACTAATCATAGTTCAGTTAGTCATTTAAGTTATTTTGGCTTTTTAGTATACTTAATAGTTTGTAATTAAACTCTCTGAAACCTTCATACAATTATAATTAAAATTTAATTAATGTAAATATTTCTTGTTCTTTTAAAAATAAAGAATTATTCTAGTCACAGCAACAGTTAAATTTCGCTGCATCCTGCTTCAGTTTGATATTTACGAAAAAAAGAAAAGATTTCCATTATGCAAGTGCTACTAATTTATTTTTAAAACTGACTGGCAGTATAACCCCATAATCAGCCTATATGTACCACTTTTATCAACTTTTTATAGTTTTTAGAATGTTGGGAAAAGTTGGAAGGGGCATGCAACTTTTTTTTTTTTTCCAGATAGCGACATTCTTCCGAAAATGGTTGGCCACCCTTGCAATACAAACAGAAATAACATTTTCTTACCCACAAAGTAACTTAGTGTTAATACAGTAGTGACAGGATAATAGAACTATTACATGTGGCCAATGAATTCTTAAAATGTAATTATTACTGGGAGAGAGGACATTTTTACTTCTTTTAATTAGTTAAATTTATGTTGGCTTAAAAAAGTATATAAACTTCATTGCACAATTCTGATATTAATGAAAGTGGAAAACTGCGCTTCTTTCTCACAAAACATAATCTCTTTAAATACTTACGTATTATCCCATTGACTGAAACTTTTGCAAGCTTGATGTAAACTCACTTCTGTATTTTATGTGAAGTTACCTATTATCCCATTGACTGACACTTTTGCAAGCTTAATGTAAAAACTCACTTGTAACATCTGCGTTTTATACGAAATTACCCAGACTGATTATTGATTAGCCATCTCTTTTGTGCTTATAAAAAAGGATATAAATTAACTGCAATTGTTTATTTTATCCTTTCACTTTGGAAAAAAAAAAAGCTTAAAAATTTGGGACAGTAGATTATTTTTCAAGTTATGAGATCCTACTTTCAAAAAAAGCGTGTATTTAGTACAATATGATGAGCTGAACATGGCCTATAAAATAGTACAATGTGTGTTCAAATACCGATTGCTTATTAAATAAAGTTGCATCAATTCCTTCAGAATTCACAAGGTACAACTGATATAAGTTTGGCAGAATCTCCTCCCCTTTTATGGTTCGATGGTAACTAATTTTCATTTTCGACAGGATAATACACAAGTACTTCTACATATTTTCAGTACAAAGTGAATCAAGCCGGTTTTAATTTGGTCATACACAGTTTTGGAAACTAAAGATTGTTTCAAAGCCAAGTATTTGAACTACTGACAGTGCACAGTAATCAGAATCTATTTCAGAACAATTTGGATCTGTGAATCTTTTTTTATTAATGGCTAATACTACCAACAAAACTTTAGAAGTTAAACTCAAATATTAAATGAGCATAAATTTAATATAATAATAGACAGCAATATGATATTTTTTTATTTTACTAGCAAAAGATCACACTCGGAGGGTGGGGTAAGATTTGTTTATAGCAAAGTACATAAAACCATCTTTCTAAAGGGAGATATGCTTTTACAAAGGACCTTTAAGGTGCTTTCAGACGTGGGCGTAAAGCGCATAGAGGCATAGTCATAAGGGCATAAAATAAGGGAGACCCGTTCACACCTGCGAGAACAAGTTGTAAGCCATGGCCAATGAGAGAAGCTAAATTTGCGCCATGCGTGGAATGTCTACAACTTTCCCGCGCTGTTCTCCCGCTCGATTGATTTCCCGCGTTCGCTCTGCTTGTTTTCTTCGTTGTGTCATGGCTTTTTGTTTTCAGCTTCGCCACAAAGTTTTACTGGTTCAACAGAATGATCTTTAATCTGCCCTTCTCATTAGCCAAGAGGCAGCGGAAGAAGGTAAAAAACGAAAAAGAACGAAATGTTCAAGAGATATTTTTTTGGAAAGGACCAATACTTGGTTGGCATATCTTTCTGTACATAACAGTATGGAATATTTCTGCATTGTACTGTAGTACTATCTATACTATAAACATGCATATTTATATAAAACCTTCTTCAATTTTTATATATAATTTGTCTTAAGAGAAATGCGACATTCAAAATATGCCTAATTAAAAAAAAATCTTGAGGATAACTAACAGATAGCCTGTATATATTTTTCCATTTTGCAGGTGTGAAAAGCAGTTAAGCTAAAAACAGTACTACTTACCATACCTTATTTTTTTTTTTTCATTTTTACATTTTTTTTTTTTTTTTTTTTTCAATCAAAAGGAACATTTTTCTTGACAGGAAAAATGTTTTAGCACTCCTTATTCACTGTCCCATACACTTATTTTTTTTTTTTTTTTTAAATTTTTCAATCAAAAGGAACATGTTTCTGTGACAGTGAAAATGTGTGCTAGCACTCCTTGTTCACTGTCCCTGTCGATCACTATAGTTGTTTACCAGCTGCACTACCAGTATCAATTATCACTTAGTACTAGTATTCCCACAACTGGATCACAATGACCACCAAACCACAACTAGTACAATACTAAAGGAAACGTTCACCCAACAATATATTTTATGCTCAATTCATTGAATGCATTTTGCTGTCTTGCCAAGCTTGTTTGTATACATCTATTTTTAATAATTTGCATGTATAAGCCGCAGCCCTGAATTTAATTTCAACATATGCTGTAATTTCTATTTGCGACCAAATCTCAAGAGTAATTTCACACTGACAAATTTTAGGATACCAAGTCTTCAAATACATCAAAATTTTAAACATTCATACCTTATCCAGGAAATTTCTACCAGAGAAATAGCATGAATTTAATGACCAAACTCCATTCAAATGATAGTAATAAAGAGTGGATAATAACAATATTAAATTATAGTCCATGTTATGAATTATGTTTGCTATTTAGTTTCATCAAAAGTAAATTCCTTTCATTAACGTATTAAAAAGGAACGTAATTAAAAAACAGAACAGACAAAACTGGACTTCAACAGGAGACTGTTGACTGTTGTTTTAAGGATATTTCACTACATTTTTTCTTTCTTGTAGTTCATAAGATCATTTTTCTCAAAAGATTAATCTTTTATTACTTATGCAAAGCTTACACCATTGAATTGACTATTGTGACTACTCTTAAATAAGTGAAAATATTTTTTTTAAGTAATATTTTTACTGTTGAAAAAACAGCAGATTCTTGATATTGATTTGATGTTTTAGTAAAATTAATTCATGAAGTTTGTTTGGAAAGAAAATCAGCATTTTGAAGCAAATACCCAATACAATATTTCCAGCTTTTTTTTATAAATATTATTCTTAAATACAAAAATAATTAAACAGGAAAAAATTACAGTAATAATTTTTAAAAAAATTATAGACAGAAAGAAAGCAATAAATAATAATTTACACAGAAAAAATAAAATTTTTTGCAAGCATGCATTTTTTTAAAGAATTTTCATAATAAAATGAAAAATATTGGATGGGATCAATCATCTACAGGATCATACACAGCGTGCATAATCCTTAGTTTAAATTTCGCTTTACGAGTTTCATCCATATTTTTCAATATAAATTGAAAAACTCATTAAAAAATGCATGTCATCATCGTAGATTTCTTGCAAGATCATCTCTTTATTTCGTTCGGATACGACGTGGTGCATATTAAAAAAAACATCGCCTTCGATGTGACAGTGAAATCATCTAAAGAAAGCCGCTTTGTTTTAGCTTCGCTCTGATTGGTCGACGCTTATCCCAAACTTGGTGTAAACTTGAAAACTTGGAACCCTATGCCACGAGCCCTAAACCAGATTCTGTGACATAGCAGTGACTGGTTGCCTTAGCAACGGAGCTCGGCTTTAACCACTTATGCCCTTTATGCACTTGTCTGAATGGGGCCTTAGAAAATGTTTATGCCGTCAGATTGGTTGCTAAGACACAAACCCATGTCAAACTACCAGCAATCAGCTGTCACAACATAGCCACAGGTGGATTATCAGTAATAAATGTTGCAAATTATTCCATCCCTTTTTCTTTATTCCAAAATTTAAATTTTACCATTTTTAATTTTACTTTTGCATTAATTATTGCTAAAACTATTATTTTTCCTAATAATTGTGATGCTGATTGCAATTATAATACCAACACTCATAACAGAATGTAAATGTATAGATTAACATATCGTGCTTCTTCATATAAAAATATTCCCACACACAAATGTACCGAAAATGGGTTGTGCCTTAGTATTGTGGTTTCAGAATATTTTTTTCTTAATTTCTAAAAAAATAGGAATACTTGCATCATTAAATATTAAAAAAAAATAGGTACATTTTGCACAAAAAAAAAAAAAAAAAAAAAAAGTGGAGAACAGATCTGTATCTCCCTTCTACTCGACCGATTGATGAATATTCAAATTGCATGTTTTTCATGTCTGATATCATGACTTGAGATATATACAGTCACAAGTCGTTAATCCGGACTCGTCGGAACTTCGGCAATTCCGGATTATAGATCATCAGTTTAAATCTGGTGAGATGGCATGCAGAAATTATTAAAAATATAAAATCGTAATTTATGAAATAAAGAGCAATTATGATCTAAAGGGTATCAAAATTTATAAAAAAAAAACTTAATATTTATTTGTTTACTTTATTAAACATTTCTTTTAATGCAAGTTGTTTAAGTAGCTTCGTTTTATGTGCTAATAGTTTCTCTTTAATTCTATAAACAGACATAATTTCTTGTTCAGTAACAAAATTCCGCTGTTCAAGTCCTATAATTGCTGTGCAGAGAATACCGAATAACTTGTCAATCGAAACTTTTTCGTTTTCAATAACCTCTTCACTATTGGAATCGAATTATAATGACGAGGAATTTGACTTAAATCATATCAAAGACTTAGTACATCGAGATGAAATACTATATTTAGTAAGGAATTATAAGCCAATTAAAATAAAAACATCTGCCCTGAAGATAAGGATAGTGCTGACAGATTAACTTCCAGTTCATTGCGCGCCACGATGTTCCACCCCCCCTCCATCCCACAAAGCAGCGTAAACAGATTTCGGAATGGTTAGAAAAACAAAGAATATGGCCTTTATCCATTTTTGCAGCAATTCCACTTTTTGTTTAATGGACTTCGAAACATACTTTCGCTTTGTAGATACTTTACATATTAGTAAATATATATCGGAAATTCTATTCGACATAATCGAACGTTCAAGCTTACTTTTATAAAATTGCTCTAACAGTCTGCAAAAAATAATAAGCCGGATCCAATTTGAAGATTAAGGAACAACACAATCTGCAACATGAACTGAATTTGATAATTTTAGCTTAGCTTATACAGTCCGTTATGCATTTAAACGCGCATGCGTAAACATATTATGCTCATGTGCACACGCATATTCGCAGCCGTAAAGGCCATTACGAAACATGCGCATGAAGTTTGTAGCTTTGAGGTCTGGATTATAGATCATTCCGGATTATGGGTGTCCAAATTAACGACTTTTGACTGTATTAGATTTTATATACCGTTGCTCTGACATGTATTTCGACACAAAATTGGAGTTCTTCTGAAATTACATGCGTATTTTTTTTTTTTTTTTTAATATTGATTCTACGACTCAATTGATGCCAAAGTGCCAAATTTGGTTAATCTTCGGATTATATAGTAACTTGGCGATTTTTTGCCGACCAACCCTGTTACAGCAACCTGCTGGTGTTTTTTTTTTTTTTTTGGACGCCATTTTATTTTTACGAAGAAAAGGCATTTATAAATTTCTTGGGAAGCTTCTCAGCAAACTCTACAAAATTCAATATTTAGGCATAATTTCAGTTGTAGAATTGAAGGAGAAAGTGCAGAATCACCCACACCCACTGCTTGATGCGTTTTAGCTTTAGCAGTGTACATGGACAAAGTCAGGAGTGTGCGCAATGCCATTCTTGTGCAATTCTGGGATGTTTTTTTTAAGTGAAAATAGGTCGACATGTACATGGCTGATACCGTGTACGTGCAATTCTTAAAAATGCAGCAAGCAGTAGGCGATTCTGCACTTTCTCCCAGTTTCGCACCTAATCTTCGTCATGATTAAGCACTTTTGTCCCATAAAAGTTCTAGCATAAGCGTAATTCGGCTAGCAGATTGTTGGAAAAAAAATGTTCAGTAAAAAAAAAAAAAAAACTTTACTTCGTGAAAACAAAATGGCGTCCAAAAAAAAAAAAAACTTGCAGGTTGCTATAGTAAGGTTGGTCTCCAAATTTTCGCCAAAAAGTCGCCAAGTTACCATAATCTGAAGATTAACCAATTTTATAGACAGAATTTCATTCTCCATTCACATGGCTTTTCTACCATGAACAGGAATTTTTAAACACTCAATTATTGAAAAATTTCACAATTCTGAAATCTGGTATTTCCTTAGCATTCCAGATAGTTAAGCTTTTACTTTGTGCAAAGCATTTACGTAATGTAGAAATACAAAATATTGAATTCAACATGATAAACAAATACTGTGAAAAATTAATTACAGGCAAAAAGTAAATAAATAAATAAAGTTATATTGCAATTAGCACAGAGACATAATCAGAACAACATAGACATATTCCCAATAATTATCAAAATGATTTGCATAAATTTTGATAACTATATTGACAGGCATAAATAAATAATAGTGAAAGTATTGCTCATATGATGAAAAATGTGTGAAACTTAATTCAATATTGAATCTCCAGTTGCAGTTTGGACAAAATGATTAAGGAAAGAGAAATCAATTCTGTCTATTAGTTCCAGGATATGCAATGATATACATAATATTTAATGCACAAAGGACTTTAAAAGGAAATTCAAGAACGATTAAAAGGAGTTTTTTAAAACAAATATTAAGATTTCTAAATAAAACTGTATTCACGCTTAACTAGCACGTTTTCGAAAAATGAATTATATTGACCACTAAGTTTACATTTCAAAAATTAAAGATATATCGCATTTATTTTTTAATACATTGCATATGGAAGAGAAATGCAATCTGATGTTCAATTTTACTTATCTTTGCATTGCAGTTTTTTATTATAAGAAATCAGAATCAAGTTATATATATAATAATAATCTATAAAAATTACACACTGGTGCAAAATGAATCCTTTCTCTATAATAATCTATAAAAATTACACACTTATGCAAAATTAACATTTTTGTTTTCCAAATCATCCTTTTCAATATGAATTATTCTAAATTAAGAAAATTACGAAAATAGAAGCTCTAATTTATCTCTGGTGTACAGAATAATGGTTTGGAAATGGGCAAATAATGTCTAGTTTCATAACATAATAACATAAATGAACATTCATAACATAAATGAAGTGTAAGTTTTCCTACTTACACTTCATTTTATAAAGCAGTATTAACAAAATTCAAAATTTTTACAACCAAATAACATATTAATTATAAAACATGGTGTACCAGATAATCAGAAGTATGTTCATATTAAGATGAAAATACAAATATTTAATACATTTACAACTTCTTTCATTAACTACATGCACAGAAACAAACAAACATTACAACTATATTTTTACATGTAACAATGGATATAACTATTGTTTCAACAGTCAATTAATTCAGCTTTCAATAGAATTAAATGTCTGTAGAGTGGACTATTCATTTAATAAAAAATCCACTGAACTTCATGAATGTCCAAGCCGCACAAACTTACCTAGATCGAATACCACTAGCTTCGCAGACTGCATCCTGCTGCCGGCAGAACAAAATGTGAGCAGTTCGTCTGCTCTCGCGGATTATATTGAAGAACTTGTCAATGACTGTAGGTTTCTGCGCATGTCGTACGTAACAAAATAGAACAGAAAATATTTTCCAAAAGCCTCATATCATTCTTTAACAATTTAGATGTGTTAGTAGCAAGCAATGTGGGATCTTTTTCTTTACTTTACAATTTTTATGATACGTTTTAAATACTAAAAGATTAAATTTTATGCAAGTTTCTTTCATACTCCTATTTAAAAGACAACAAAATATGTGGCAACATGTACGATATAGCAGACGCTTTCAGTGGAGGATTCAAGTTGAATATTGAAAAAATAAGCATATCAGATAGGTTTAAGGTTTAATATTTACTTTTAATATGAAATTAAATGGAAAAGTTGGAATGGTAACAGGTGGCGCAAAAGGTATAGGAAAGGCATTTTGTAATGCTCTGTTGAATGAAGGAATGAAAGTAAGAAGTAAAGGGATTTGATTTCTACTTCATTCATAGATTCTTTTTTTTTTTTTTTAAATTTTTTTTAATTTTAGCAAATTATTACTTTAGTTTGCATAGTCTGCACTTAAACAACAATATACTGTAAATAAGAATCATAAAAAAAATTAGTTGATCTTACACATAAGGTAACTTTGCTAAATAATGGAAATACAATAGAAACTTAAAGCTTTAGGTATGTGATCAAGTTTAAACAAATGCCTATTTTTGAACTATGATCAAATTTAATTGTGATCACAAATATTTCTTGATTATGGTTCTAATAATTAATAATTTTTAATTTAGTGATTATCAGAACATAGGTTTAGTTCATTGCAATTATAGTAATAATTTTTATGAAAGAAATTTTTGAGTCCCTTTCCACTGGTTATAACTATGATTATAATATTTCTTCCCCCCCCACCACCACAGCATCTGCTAAAACATTTTTGCTGGTAGTTAACAAAAAGAAGTTACCTGTGTATGTTTGAATCAACATCTCATTTTTCCTTTCTCTTCATCATTTAGGTGAAATGCTCTATGCAAGTGAAATATGTTATTGAAAATTGTCAATATTATAAATTTATATAAATATATTTCATTATATTTTAAATATGATTTCTGGTAATTTGGATATTATTATATATTTTTTTTCTCTTTTGCTTTAGTGTGCTTCTACCTAATTTTATTCTTAAAGAATTGTAATTCATGGCTGGAGTTTTAAAATTAGTAAAATTTAACCTTTAGATTGTAATTGGTTTTTCAAAAAGGCTATAGTATTCATTTTGAGAGAGATATGTATAAATTCCCTCTTCTTCAAAAAAAACATGGTTATAGCTTTAAAATACTGAGAATACTTCTATAAAACAAAATTAACCAATTGAATTTTATCAGAATTTAAGTTAACACCATACAGGCTAAAAAAAAAATTTTTTTTTTTTTGAAAATATAATTTTAAAGACATTTTTCGATAGTTTTAATTTACTTTTTTTATTTTTAAAATGATAATATAGGTCAGTATCTGTGATATTAATGAAAATGTTGGTAAAAATTTTCATGAAGATATTCTTGAAGGCCAGAAAAGTAAAGTCATATTTTGTAAATGTGATGTTTCATCTGAAAGTGAATTCAGAGGTATGTTTCAGTCTAGTTTTGTTAATATAAGTAACAGAGTTAAATTCCTCAGAAATATCAAATTTATGTAAAACAATAAAGCAAAAGTGAATTTGCATCATGCATACTGAAATGATAATTGCGCCTTTAGTTAATAGTTATGTCAAAAACTATACTGTTGAAAATTTCTTATCACAAGTGCATTCAACCATTAAGTTGACATTCGAGCAATGCCAAAAGTAGCCTCAATGAGGCACATCTCTTCGATTAAAAAAGGGAATGCAAAATTAAAATATAATAATTTAAATGCAGTAAATCCTCTTATGGCATTCACATATGAAAACGACCAGTATTTCTGAATGTAAACAAATATTAGCATTGAAACTGATCTCTCTGTGAAAGTGTGGCATAAGGTTTTATGGCTAATCTTTGGAATATGGTAACAGGTAGTTTGGCGAAATTTGGTAAGGCGATAAAGGTTACTAGCTAGGACTTTAGCAGTGTACATGGATAAAGTCAAGAATGTGCGCAATGCCATTTTTGTGCAATTCTGGGATGTTTTTTTAAGTGAAAATAGGTCGACGTGTACATGGCTACCGTGTATGTGCAATTCTTAAAACATGGCAAGCAGTGGACGATTCTGCACTTTCTAACAATTTCACACCTAATCTTCGTCATGATTAAGCACTTTTGTTCCATAAAAGTTCTAGCATAAACGTAATTCGGCTAGCAGATTGCTGGAAAAAATGTTGAGGAAAAAAAAAAGGCTTTACTTCGTGAAAACAAAATGGCATCCAAAACAAAACTAGCAGGTTGCTGTAGCAGGGTTGGTCACCACATTTTCGCCAAAAATCGCCAAGTTACCATAATCCAAAGATTAACTGGTTTTATCACACTTTTACAGAATACCAAAATCATTTGGTTTTGCTTGCAGAGATTGGCTTCAGGTCTCAAAATCCTGTTATGGCTGTTGATTACCACCTAGGTTTAAGGGTTGCAAGGTTACAACCTCAGATTTCAGTGGGGTTCAAAATCATCCCATAATCTTGAGTTTCCTACATAAAGATATGTAAAATGGATATTGTAAGCTCTTGAAATTATAATATGCCAACCTAAGATTGGTTTATGTGACAGTTCTGCTGTGAATTATCACACACAGAAATATATACAGTCACACTTTTATGGTAGGTTGTCAAGAACAATGAACGATAATAAATGAAATAATAGTAGATGAAAGAATAAATAATTAAAATTAAATAAAGGATAAAGGGACAAAAGCCATTAATAATTGAAGTTAATGATAAGGACGTAAATAATAAATTAAAATATCTTAAATTAAATTAATTAATTAAAAATTATCCTAATTTGCTCTTACTGGGAAAGTGAAGTATTCATTCAGTATCTAGTATCAATATCTGTTTTGCTAACTGCTAAAAAAATTTCTTGCATTAAAAACAGAATTTTCTAATATTGTGATTATTTTGCTCAGAGCACTCAAGATAATCTGATTTGGAGCTCTGTTGTTCTATGGTCGACATTGAGATTTCACTCAAACATTGAGAAAAGTTGGAGCCAGATTCTAGCTGAATTTAAGTCTTGATTACAGAAAGATTTTTCATATCTTAAGACAGATATTAATCACACACTGAAATTTCTAAATCTATTATTAGAAGATGCACTTATTTTTGCAGTATCAAGCAATTGATTATGCCAAAGAAAAATGTTTATTATAAACTATTAACTAACTAATTTTCGTACTTTATATAGTTTGCAAATGTCTCCAGCTTTTTATCTTTATTGCATATATCATTTAAGTTTATCAATTTTAAATAATTTTCTTTTTAGAAAAATGTAAACTAAATGTCTGTTGAATTAAGTCCTGTAAAAGCCCATCTGTTTAATTTTTAATCATGCTTCAGATTTCTAGAAAAGATACTCCATTTAATTACTCCATTTAATTTGTACTCCTCTAGGCCTAATTAGACTGCCTACTTTTTTTAAAAATCAAAACTCCGACTTTAAAAGGTAGCGTGCCAGAAATGGTTAAAGGAAATAATATGGATTTTTTTTTACAGTTAAAATATAATAATTTCCTTTCCTTAATTTTAAATTTATAGGTATTAGCCACATGCTTTAAGACAATGGACACACACACTTGCCATCAGCATAAAAACCAAATTGTCAACAGAAAATATGGAAAAAGAAAAATGTGTGAGATAACAAATGTAATAGCAGGTAATGCTATAATATTTGAGAACTCATTTTATACAGACCATGGGGAAAAGAAAAGTGCAATAAAAAATAGTTCAGAAATGTACTACTAGATAAATAATAAATAATTAAAATTAAATAAAGGATAAAGGGGCAAAAGCAATTAATTAATTGAAGTTAATGATAAGGATGTAAATAATAAATTAAAATATCTTAAAATTAAATTAATACTAGATGGCTCATTTCATTCAATGAAGAAAGATGTTACACAAATTAGGAACTGTTTGAAATGCCGGTAGTCAGTGCTGTGAAATCATTCTTTACCATTTTAGGAGGGAAAAAAAAATAGCTTTACTAGTTTATCAGAACTTCTTCATTGCAGGGAACAGATGGTAATCAGAAGGAGCCAAGTCAAGGCTGCAGGGGATATGTTGAAACACATCCCATTTGAATTGGTGCAAAAGATGTGTTCACTGAGCACTATGAGGCCAAGCGTTACCGTGTAAGAACAGAACCCCAGATGTTTGCAGGCAGTGATGTTTGTTCTGGGTGGCTGATTTCAGTTTTCTCAAAATGTCACAGTACACTTCAGAATTGATTGTTATACTTATACTTCATGAATTCGAAAACCAAGATTCCATTAACATCCAAAAACATGGGAATTATAATCTTCCTTACTGACAAAGTTCAACGGCTTTCCACAGCCGGGAAATCAGAGAATAAATGTGACCATGACCATGACTGTTGTTTTGTCTTAGCATTCACATATGCTACTAAAGTCTCGTCACCAGTCACTATTCTTTCAAAAACTCTTCTCCTTCAGTGTGGTACTGGTAAAGAAAGTTCTGAGGCAATAATGACATTTCGATTGGTTTTGTGGATCTCTGTGAGAATTTTCGATTACCCATCGAGCACAGAACTTCCTGTAACCTAATTTTTCGGTGATTACCTAGTACAACATGGTCTGAGAAATGTTTACAAATTGTTATAACAGTTCCAAGATTGTGAATCGATGGTTCTGACGGATTTCGTCGTCAATTTGTTTGACGAGATCATCATTCACTACATATGGCTTCTTACTCCTTGATTGATCATGAATGTTTGTTCTTCCTTCCTTTAAAAGTCTCACCCATTGATGAAACGCAACTTCACTCATAATGTTTGGGCCATATATGACTCACAATTCACAATGAATTTCTGCCACTGACAGTTTTTTTCCCAAAGAGATCATATTACTACCTCTCATTTGGCAGAATTTTCAATAGCAGCACACATTTTGTGACGTTTTAACCAGTATATGCATGGCAGTATGACACTCTCACTATGACAACAGGAAGCTTACTGAATCAGAGATTGCTTAATGTCACAATGGTTGCACTGTGTCCACTACTACTAGTGCCACACTATAATAACGGTTAGTTTCCGAATTGGCCTCATAGTTTAACTGCATTGCGAGAGTATCAACACTGAACTTGCAAAAAGAGCCTATGTCAAGGAATGGTTTAAAAAGGATGATTACTAAATTTAAAAAGATTTGGCAGTTTAAGTATGCTGCAAGGAAGAGGATAGAAACAGATTTCAAATGAAACTGTGGAAGAAGTAGCTATTGCTGTGGTTGATAGAACTTCCTGTTCTCAATATCCTTCAATGAGTACTCATGTATTGTCACATGATTTGCTCATCCCTTAGGCTATAAATAAAAGATCACCATTGTGCAAAAGCTGCTCTTTCAAAGCATCAATGTACTGATATTGCTTACCAGTTTTTGGTGAACGTAGGCATTGACAGTGCATGGTCTTGGAACATTTTGTGGTCAGATGGAGCAGTGTTTGCAGCAAGTCAATCCTATCTTACGAGAATGAGAATGCTTAAAGATTACTGTCTTTATGCGAGTAGAGCAACACCATATACTGACCAACAAATAAATCATCTGCTTTGAGTTGATTTTGAAGATTACTGAGTTTATTCAGAAGTTTTCAAGTACCTAGCTTCCTCGTTCTCCACACTTGAATCCCTATGATTGTTAAGATTCCTGAAAGATTGTGTCTGTCAAGGAAGCATAAAAGGAAAGCAAACACAACATACTGTTTTATTGCAGTGCTCAAGAAACCCTTTGTACTGCTATTGAATATGCCACCAATACAAACAGAATGCACATTGAACAAATGCAATGATTAAACAAAGTTTTAGATTTCCAGTTTTGTATTTCTTGTTCTTTATGCACCACATTTTCACCTAGAAGTGGAAATTTGAACTTTAATTTTTTTCAGTTTAGCTTTCTTTTTCCCATAGCCCTTATAATGTATATAAAGTTTCAATGAATTAAGTCTTCTAGAATAGGGTTTACATAGATCACGTTACTTATGACTATCCTGTATGTATGTAAGTGCTTAGAGGGTTCCATAATGGTTAAGACTTCTTTAGAAAGACTGTTAGCCCCCCCCCAAAAAAAAAGGTTGAAATCCATCCATGTAAAGAAATCCAAATTGAAACAATATATAAATTCTGATAACTGATTACAATTTGATGATCAATTATATTTTTTTCCATGCAAGGTAAAAAGAATTTTTATCCATAGCATTCTGGTACAAAATGAAATCTGAATGTTTCTGCATGATGAAGGTCATTTTATCGAAGTAAAATTTTATTTATTGAGAACAAGTAACACAGAATACTTAGCCCAGGAAATGTTCACTGTAAATATGTTTTTATATCTCTTTCAATACAGACAAGATTATTTTCAGACCTACAGATTAAGTGTGCCTGTATTTAGTGCAGATATTGAAGCTATACCACTGATTCACTGGTATGTAATTATCTTCCTGAGTATACTGATTTGGTTGTGAAAATAACATGGGTGGAAGAACAATGATGCCAGTTGTTAAAATTCATTTACTATGTAAGAGAAATTGTCAAATACTTTTACTCATATACGTGTAGAAATTAAACATTTATTTGCTTCCTCAAAATAGATCATTTCCTTACGAAGATCCAGAAGAATAAGTATACAAAGTCTGGATTGTGTGTTAATACATTGACTGGTATGCTGATTTTGAAGTGTTGTGAGCTCCATATCCAACTAATCCATTACATAACATTATATTCCTGCTTTTTTAATACAGTATTAATATATATTCATGGCCACAGTTGCTAGAAACACTTTCAGGCAGTTATATGCAATGGTAGATATATCACTGTTGGATAAGAGATTTAGCTTTAGTTAGCATGAATGCCATTTAACAGAATAATTCATGTTACACATATGATGTCACTTACATTTTGTAATGTTTTAGATATTCTTCGTTTTAGATTTATTTATAACTGTGATTGCTGTGGTAAAGTCTTCAAGTGGTTTAACAGTTAAATTAGAAACAACTTTTAATCAGCTGGTAATCTGGATTCAGTAACTGAGATGCTGTTTTAATTGCTGAGTTCTCATGGTCTGTATAGCTTAAAATATGATTTAAGTCCCTTATATTATTAAAAAGAATGCAACAGGCCCAAGTCATATACTTAATATAGTGCTCTTCATGAATGAGTCCAAGTCATATACTTAGATTACAGTGACCAAATCAATTATACTATTTATTTTTCACATATAGTGCACAGTATTTTTAAATCCCAACTTTTTCCTCCTTAAAAATTAACATTACTTAAGCAGATCTGGTTCTTTATTAGGTTCTTTTACACTTAAATATTAGCATAAAATGACAGCTTTTTCAAGTTTTATTTATTACTTAATGAAATACTATATAATATTAAGTGCAAATTACTCATTTGTCAAATTCCACTTAGCTGCATTTGATAAAACTATAAAGACTTTTGGAAGGATTGATTTACTCATAAATAATGCTGGCATACTCAATGAACATGAATGGAAAAGAGTAATCGATGTGAATTTTGTAAGTACTTTAAAACTTCATATGTATTGTTTTTAATACAACCTATCAAAATATTTTATAATACATGTTTTGTTCACTACAAACATTTATCGGAGATATATGTAACAAAATCAATAAATGCAAATGTTGGATATGTCTAGAAATTTGAAAGAAATTTTACTGGTCATGATTTCTTTATGTTATCAAGAAATTTTAAAATATTGTTTAATTCAGATGTATTTATTTTATTCTTCTGATGTAAAATATATTACTCCGAGTATAATTAAATATATCCTTATAATAATTTTACTCTTCCGTTGTAAAATACATCAATTCAACTACAAATATTATCCATGCTATATTTTGTCTTTTTATTATTCAGATGTTTAAGTAGGTAGAAGAAACATTATTAACAGAATGGACACCATAAATTATTCAAATTAAATACAGTAATATTTATCTGAATATAAATCCAACACTCCTATTCTCTGCTTAAAAATTTGGTAGTCTTATAAACAGGATTTTCATAAATAAAATAGTAGAATGAAAGGAATTCAGTTATCACACTGTATGGAATAATTACACTATTTATATAAACCTCTCTGGTGATTACTGTATACAAAGTTATCATAAAAGAATTTACCTGATATATAAACTCCTCACAGCCTATCTGCTCAATCAATTGAAATGAAATTTCGCTATTGTTATTTGAAGAATAGCAGAATGAAAGAAGGGATTTAGTTATCACTGTATAGAATAATTACACTATTTATATAAATCGCTTTGGTGATTACTGTAAACAGGTTTATCATAAAAACATTTCTCTGATATATATAAACTCCTTGCAGCTTATCTGCTCAACCAATCAAAATGAAATTTCGCTATTGTTACTTGAAGATATCCCCTCAACATTGTGATGATTTATAACACCAGTTCTCAAATTGTGGTACATTACAATATTTTTAGTGGTACAATTTTAACAGGAAAAAATTAAATGAATGTAAAATTGCACCCCTTTTAACATTTTGTTTTAATCTTTATTATTCAGAAACACATATATTTTTCAAATTTTTTACTTTTACAACTCTAATGTTGAAATGACGACTTTTCCAAGAGCTTCAGAACTTTATGATCAGTATACTTATTTATATTTTATTGTAATGTAAAAATTGTAATTTATATTTAGTGTAATGTTTACGAATATAATTAAATAATATAAATTTAAAGTCTTTAATTATATACACTGCATTGATTTTTAATACGAAATGCTTTTATGGTGGTACGTATATTTGTTTCATATTAATGTGGTATAAAACTTGTAAAGTTTAAGAACCCCTGATTTATAACAATAGCGCTCACACAGTTACAGTGAAAAAATTCGAAATTTTCAATAGGCACCCACTATTTTTCTGCACAAATTGATCAGTGGACTGAAAAATATGGCATTGGAACGATACATGTATGACAAGAACTGCCAGTGTAAAATGATTGTGAAGAACCAATAACTATATAAGAGAGGAGAAGGGGGGACTCTTACAGGAATTGCAAGTTTTCAAAGTGGCCGCCTTTGCAGATGATAATGCAGTGCATGTGAGAGATTGTTGACAACAGTGACAAACATAACATTGCAGGAGGACTCTGCATAACTTCATATTTTATAACATCTTTCACTTCTGACAAATCTTACAGATGTGATGCATTCATATAACCCCAAAACCAGATCTCCTATAACTTTGTAGTTTTGTGGCTACCATGATACTCCGGATTTCTGGTTCTGAGGTTATTTGAAAACGTGCACACATGAAATTTACAAGATTTATCAGAATTGAAAGATGCCATAAAATGTGAAGTTATCGTTTCCTTTTGTCGATGTTATATTTGCCATCATTGTCAAAATGTCCCACAGGCAATGCGTTACAGTCGGCGAAGTCTGCAAGCTGAAAACTTGTAATTCCAATAAAAGTTTCCCCCTTCCCATCTTGTGTTGTCGTTGGCCCTTTACAATGCTCTTTTGTAAATGATTTACATCAATTTTTGTTGTATGTGTATCGTTCCAATGTCATTCAGTTTTTAAATGCACTGATCAGTTTGTGCAGGAAAAAAGTGGTGGGCATTGCCATTTGAAAATTCAAAACGTTTTCATTGTAACCATAATTGTAATAGCTCTAGTTTTAAACCATCACAGTCTTGAGCTCACGACTTCAAAATCAATATTTGAAATTTTATTTTGATCAGGTAGGGGACAGACAACAAGGTTTATATATCGGGGAAGATTTTATGACCACCCTGTATGCAAAACTATTATTAATTGTAATAATTGTATCTCAGTGAGCGATTTCAATTTATGCTTACACCCACTGTACTGGTTACTTGTATGCCGGAAAACAAATACAGTCAAACATCTTTAACTCCGGACTCGTCGGGACTTCGGCGATTCCGGTTTATAGATCATCAGTTTAAATCTGGTAAGATGGCATGCAGAAATTATAAAATTAAAAATATGAAACCGTAATTTATAAAATAATAAGCAATTATGATCTAAAGGGTATCAAAATTTACAAAAAAATAAAGCTTAATATTTATTTGTTTACTTTATTAAACATTTCTTTCAACGCGCGCATGTGTAAAGCATACATTACACATAGCCGAAATTAGAAAATTGACAGTCTTTTGTTTTGTAGATCCTTTGGGAGCTCCAGCATCGAAAATTCTATTTGACATAATCGAAAATTCAAGCTTACTTTTATAAAATTGCTCTTACAGTCTGCAAAAAATAATAAGCCGGATCCAATTTGAAGATTAAGGAACAACGCAATCATCAACATTAACTGAAATAGCTAATTAGATAATTTTAGCTTATACCGCCTGTTATACATTAAACGAGCACACGAAAACGTATCCTGCGCTTGCGCACACCCGTATGCGCAGTCGTAAAGGTCTTACGCGCACGCATAAACGCCTATGCACATGCGTCAAAACGGCGCATGCGCAGAAAGTTTTTAGCTTTGAGGTCCAGATTATAGATCATTCCGGATTATGGGTGTCCGAATTAACGACTTTTGACTGTAATGTGTGATTAACGATGTCATTGGGCCACAGCTAAAGGTACTGGTATTTCAAGGAAGAGGGGAAAAAAAAAAAAAAAAAACTAAGATTCTCTTTCTAAAACTACTATAAGACAAATACTCAACTATATTTTTATTTATTTATCATAAATGTACGGAGGGAGTTATATTTAAATAAATATAGTAATATTTTATCGTGGACTATGATTACATATATTACATTCTGCATTGCTATTACTTAAAATGATTTAATTCTGCAAATTAATTACATTTGTTCTTTTAATTTCAGTGCAGGTCAGAAGTTAGAATAGAATAATATAAATTAATCACTTTTTTAAATGTGATAAATTTTGATTTTTTTCCCTTAATTTTTTAAGCAAATATAAAAATTATTACCAGTGTTACCAGGTTCAAATAGAAATTGTCTATCTTGTTGAATTTACTCACTATGACATAATTTCATTTGAAAACACATTGTTGCTACATTTCTAATCATTAATAGGTAGATTGCCAAGCTCCTGCAATATTCATCGTTTCTTTGAACATAACTAGCAGAACTGTTAATTTTGCTCAATTATTAAAGAAAAAAGTACTGAATGTGATATGACTTGTAATATATATCATTTAAAAAAAACATTAATTTTTTTCACATTTTTGGATATCTTAACTATTGGAAATTGTGAAGGATAAAAAATAATATTTTAATATTCTTATACTTGTTATGTCTTTCAACAGGTAAAGTGCAGAATCGCCTATTTATTTGTTTGGCGCTTTTTACAAGAGTAAGAAGAATTGGATTTGTGTCAATTTTCTTTCACTTTTTAAGTGAAAAATCAGTTGATGTGTACATGTATAAAGTTAAGGGAGTTTTGTGAAATTCTGGATTTTTTTTTAAGTGAAAATAGGTCGATGTGCACATGGATACAGACTTTGTGCAATTCTTGAAAACGCGCCAAGCAGTGGGTGATTCTGGACTTTTCCCCTTTCAACAATCATATGTGTTTAGTAGTGATGAAACAGGTTACTAGTACTTTCATACAAGTTCATGCCTATTATAAAAGATACTGCATCAAAAGGAGAGTTATGATGATTAAAAAAAAATCATAAAAAAGAAAATACAAAAGTAAAATTGATACTATCTGAAAGCTGTTTTTTCTTAACAAATGGAACATTAGATTTATTCTATACAATGGCATAAGATGAAGTTATACACTTGAAAACTGCTCAGAGCTAAGGAAATGAAATTTTAAATTAGTAAAAGAAAAGTTCAATACTCAGATTAAGGCACATAGCATGATAATATATGTCACAATCTGTATATTGTATTATTCAATTACGGCAAAGCACACGAGGGCTGTCTGCCTAAAGGGAGGGATGCCTTCGTGTAGGACTTTCTAAGGGAAACTGGCTATATACACATGGGAAAAACCACGAAAATGCCCATGCAGCCAGTCCGTTTGCGGGATTTGAACCTCGGACCGAACTACCAGTGTTCAGCGTCTTTACCGCTTGTGGTCTCAATCTGTATATTGAGTAACATGTTAAAAAATTTTATTATTTATAATTATTTTAACAGTTTAATTATTGATTTCATTTTTATCATAATTTTAATTTGAATATGCTCAAAAAAGCATACTGTATATTATAACTCACTTAATCCTCTGAGCACCATGACCGGCTTTATCCGGTCATGAGATTTTTTTGTTACTTGTTACATATTAGCTTATAATAAGATATTTTGCTTTCTTACTTTCATTAATAATATAAATGTCATCTTGATGAATGTAAGTTTATGGAAATAGACAAAAATAGGTAAATATACATATTTAGCTAATAAAGGCTCTTTAAATACAGGTCTTCATTACAGATCCAAAAACCCGGGCCACTCAGAGGGCTAAATACAATAATCACAGTCAAGAAAACTTCACATTCCTAAGGTTTTAAAAAAGTATCAGATAATTATTTTGATTTCAATTATATTAGGTTGCTAATGAAGTAACGCTAGTTTTAGGAGCATGTTATAAATGTATGTATTCATTTATTACATTTTTTACTAAAAAAACAGAAGAAATAAAAAAGATATTTTGATACATAACAAAGCTGATGATCTATGCAATCAAATTGTCGACAGTTTAAGGGGAGCAAATTAGCTCAAACTACTGTACTTTCGAATAATGCATTTATGGTGCAAGACTTTGCTGTAATACTGTTGAGTAATATTCAAAAGGCATATTAATCTCCCAACCTCCAAAAAGTTTAAATATGTCTATTTAAGTTGAGGATAAATTATTTTGGATTGTGATAAAAAGATTATTGCAATTTTTCAATCCAAATTAGTCAGAATATTTATAAATATTTTATCAAGTGATATACATATCAAAATTCTTTATTAAATCACCCATAGCAATTTATTAATCTCTACATCTAATGAAACAAAGAGTCTGTCTGTGTGTGTGTGTCTTTCGTTCGTGCAGCCCGTAAGCTAATAGACCCACTGCTACAAAATTTGGTACATAGGTGCACCTCGAAGCGATTTTTTCGAAATTTGAATTTTTTTTTATTTTATGTTTTGTGACGAAATCGTGTCATTTTGAGACATATTGGGCTATAGGAGAGCGAGATTTTACTCTACACACTCCATTTTCACATCGTCATGTAGGTACTTAGCTATTTTACGAACTTAAAATAAATTTCATGTTTCAATAAATCGATTAAATACGAATTTATGTAACAAAGTGAGCTTAACACCTTTTCAACGGGATTTTTTCTAAAAAAGTTTATTTTTCTTTGATTTTTGGACACGTTAAACTTTCATCCTTGCGACTGCTTTTATGAAAATAATTTTGGAAAAATTATAATATTTTGTATTTTTAAAGAATTTTTTAAATGAAGCTTCCGAGTACACTTCTCACATCTTTAAAAATGTGATTTTGGCAACAATTTTCCTTTCTTATTGTTGTTGATAGAATTTTTTTGATGAAATCGCATCATTTTGAATAGTTTTCATTCTTTTAGAAATATGGGTTTGGCAACAATTTTTCATCATATTTCTTGTGTCACTGTTTTTAAGAGATTGGCATATTTCATTGAAATTTATATATATATATATATATATATATAATACATTTTTCATTGATTTTTTTTTGATAAAGTTTGTTCTGCAGAGTAAAATGTGCACGGAATTTTTTGTTTTTCGAGTTTTTTTCATGTTATTTTATGCTTATTTCACTGTAAGATATTGAAAAGTTTTGCATGATTTTTTTTCTTCAACGCAAAGTTTGTTAATATTTGTATTAAGGGATATAGCTTATTTCATTGTATTTTTTTCCTCTTGAAAATATGAGATAAAATATCATTAATTATACTTTGCTTTTCAGAATTTTTTGTTTTTTGTATTTTTTAATGTTATTTATTGCTCATTTCACTGTTTTTAAGATATTGAAAAGTTTTGAGTGATTTCTTTAGGAAACAAAGTTCTTAACCTCCTTTACACCATTTGAGTTCTTAAGATTTTGTAAAGGGAAGTTGCTTAATTTATTTATTAGGATAATTAAGATATATTGCTTATTTTGTTGTAATTTTGTTATGCCTAATAACTTTTTTTTTTATGAAGTTGTTATTCAGAGTTTTCTGAGAGAGAGAGAGAAATTCTACACAGTTTTTAAATTTAACGTTTGGTCCCTTCAGCCATTTTTCCGGTACATTTAAAAACAAGACGAAGGCTAGCAGCGAAGCTGCTAGTTATATATAAAAATGGTATTGCCTCTTTCGTTATTTAAGAAAAAAATAATTTTATAACTTCAAGTATCATTTAATATTTTTCATCTTACATACTGATCGACAATTACCAAAAATTTTAATCCAAATCAGTTGGAACATTTATAAAGATATTGCAATCTATAACCAGCCTTTAAATAGTTATTTGAACATAATGTATATTTAAGCTAATTCATTTGGCACAAGATATATTTGTTTTTGATTTTTTTAATATTGTTTTTAAGCAATAATGTCTTGTATGTCATACTGATTCAAATATGAAATTACTGTGTTGGTTTTTTCAATGAAAATCAGGCTTGGTAATATAAGCTTGGATTACACACATGAATTACTATTAAAGTGTACTACAAGGGGTCCCCCCCCCAAAAAAAAAGCATACCCATGAGATAAAGCTAAATTATACTTATTTTATACTGTGTACAAGAAATAAGTGTTAAAAAACTGTATTCAGAACATATTAGAGATAACTGCAGGTTTTTGAACCATAGAAAATGCATCTTATATTCGAAAGAATACCATACTTCTGAATAGAAAAATCTTACATATTCATTACCTTCATAAAAGTATCAAATATGCAGTCGACCTGCAAAAAAGATTAATGTAGTTGAAGATAACATTATTATATTATTTGGTTGAAAGGCTGTTAAAAATAACTTGCCATTCAATCAAAATCACTAAAAAGTCTGTATACATAAAATTAAAATACGATATATTCTCTTGAAAAATTTTTTTCATTGAGCATATTTTTCTGTAAATACAAATAAAACAAATATTATTGAAAGCAGGTATAACAAATAAAACAATTTTACAAGTTCCATTGAGCATAGATTACGTAAAATGAATCACAGATTATATGTAGCAACCTCAACAAGAATACACCAAAGCATGGCTATTTGCTTATTGCCAATACATCATACTTATGAGGCCAACTGTTTTTAATTGTGCATTCAGCATGAGCATTAGTTATTTAGCTTGACAACCACTCAATCTCTGCATTTCTTGTTGTGACTGTGCAATATCATGTAAAGCTTGCCTGATTTGTTCTAGCAAGAATTCTCCTTTAAGAACAACTTCTTCTAGCCTTCTTGCAGCTTCTTTATTTTCTTCATCTAAACGTTTTATACTTGCTTCTTGTAATTCTGGATAAGAATCTTCACTAGGCAAACTATCAATCAAAACATCTATGTCTTTGGCAGTTTTAGCAATTAGAGTAGCAAATGTTTGACAATAATCATCAGGTGGCTGAGGTGGTTTAGGACCTGTTTTATCAAATTCCGGGAAACTACTGGGAGTAGCACACTGCTGTAGAACTCCAATGCTGTTGCAAATATTTTCAGCCTGAGCATTTACGGCATCTTGCAGTTGCGACAAACGATCAGCCATTCTAGTAATCAATTTATTGTACAGCCTTTCACTATATAATATATATATCCATAATTACGACGATGTAACGTAATTTTTCCTAAACTTTCGCGGGGTTAATTTTATTGCTGAATAATCAAAACGACGAGTTTTCTGCTAAATGTAGTAATATTCAAATGATAAAGTTTGTAATAGAAAGTTCCACAAATTACACAAAGCGAAATTTTGGTTTTACTAGCTCAAAAAACACGAACCCACCTCACACTCTCATTTGTAAACATGCAGCACGATGGCGGTGAAAAGTGTATGTTGCCAGGTTCAGTAACTGTTAAACTATTCGTTCCTCAGAGGCGCTGCAGATTGCGATATAGCACACTGTGAATTCACTCTGTAAATTCTCGTTAAGTTAAATTTCGTTATCCACCTTTAACACTGTTCTGCTCATAGATAAAATAATAATAATAATAATAGATAATGCTGCATCAATAAAACCTGACTTAAACGAGAAAGTACCGTAATTGTTATTTAAGTGTTCAAAATATACATTATTGTTTCAAATCTGAGCACAAATGACGCTATAATATTTTTAATGGCGTAACTCTATGTTAAAATTACCGAAAAAATTAAAAAGGTATACAATGCTAACAATTTGATTAATAATAAATAAGAAAACTTAAATTGTCGGTAACATTTATGTTATTCCATATAGTATACGCGTATGTTAAAAAATTAAAATAATTTTAAGCAAAATTCTAGCTTACAAAAATGTAGATAATTGTGATACCTTTATTGACACTTTCTGATTATTCGCTCTTCCATGAAAAGTTTTCGAATCATTGTCGATTTTGTGCGTAGGTGACAAATTTTTGTTTGGTTGTCTTTCGGTTTCGTAAGTTTTATTTTGTTCATAAATAATGAAAAAGTATCTGAAAAGAGGAAAAAAAATATGGGAAAAATAACTGATATTTAAATAACCGATATAATAGATATTTATGTTTTTACTGCCGATAGATACTGGATAGTTAAATATAAAAAGGGCAAATTCACATATATTAAAACAGTGGTCTCAGTCTGGCGGTTCGTGAGCCGTATGTTGTCCCCGAAGCAATGTTATGCGGTCTGCGATGATATTGGGTCATATAAAATGTCTTCGCGCTTTTTTGGTACATTTTTTAACAAAAATTTTCTTTATAGAAAATCAATTTTAATCATATTGGCGATTATTATCTATGATCTTTTGCCATTTTTCGAGTAGCTTAATAACTCCATCGGTGTAGAACTTCTGTGGTTTATCGTCGATAAACTTGGGCAAGTAATTTTCACTGGCTCTTCGGTCGGCCAATTTTTTACCTTCAAGAGTTTTCTAGAGACCGAAGAAAATGGTAGTTAGAGAGTGCAAGGTTCGGGCGATATGGTGAATGTATCAAAACTTCTTCCCAACCGAGTTCCGTCAATTTGTTTCAAGTCATGAAAGATGTGTGTGCCCGCGTATTGTCATAATGGAACATAACTCTCTTTCTTTTGGCAGATTTCTCTCTTTCTGTATTGCTTCATTCAAACGGTCGAATCGTGCATAGTACACGGCCGAATTAATGGTTTCGCCAGGTTGCAGTTTATGTGGCACCCAAACATTGAGTTTCTTTTTGTAACCTGCTCTTTTCAAATGATTCTAAACTGTCATGTGGTTGATGTGTAGTGCCTCTGTTATTTCCTGACAGCTTACGTGCCGGTCTTGCTCCACCAGTCGCAAAATTTCATCGACTTTTTCAGTGATTCACTTTACAAATTTTTCGTCATGTTTTTGCAGCCTTTTTAACTTTTTTATAGTAAAAAAAGCATCACGTAACTTATTTCTTCAGATATTTCACTCATTTTCAAATCAATATAACTTTTTACATAAGCAACGAATTAAAAAACTATTTTTACAAACAAAGGAAGCTGAATGTCACCCTTTAAGCACATGTTCGGGTGAGTATTGCCGGATATATAGACATCAACACTATCTAGTGGCAAAAAAAAAAAAAAAAAAAAAAGCGCGGAGGCATTTTATATGACCCAATATTTCAATTATGAACTTGCAAATACAATGATTTAAGATTTTAATTATTTGAAGTTCAAGTTTAGAATATTTTCATCACCGTTAAAAACTTAAATAACGCATCAGAAAATCTGTAAATGGAACTAACTAATTTACAAAGTGATAAATTGTATTCAAAGATTTGAAGATACAGATTTTATTAAAGTTGAGAAAAAATAAATGTGTTACGAATTTTTGCGCTAAGAATAATCTCTTTATTTGGCCGCCCAGACGGTATAACACACACATACAAAAACAAAAAGTTCAACCGAATATTGGAACCGAGGTACAGGTAATCAGAACGTGCATATTTATTTTAGTTTACTAAATTTACATGAGCACATCTGTTTTAAACTGTAATATATCCAGCATAATATTTTCGATACTTAGTATCTGACTCAGAATGAAGGAAAATGCATAAAATATAATTAACAGTTTGCATAAATCATCAAACTAATGAAACCCTTGCTGATGATAATTTCTTGCGAAAAGTTTTTCCCTTCTCTTTTTAAAAGTGATGGATACAACTGTAAACAGCGAAACTCAAAATGGAAGAAACTATCAAAATTAAAAAATAAAACCAGATTTTGCTGGTTTTTATTTTTTAATTTTGATATCAGACTACTTCTCGCCATTCTCATAGCTGATACAACTAGGATTACCAAATGTTCTTTTTTTTTTTTTTTTTTTTTTTTTTTTTTTTTTTTTTTTTTTAATAGGCACGTAAGGTAATTGGGATCAGAATAGGCAACCGAAAAATGCATTAGTATAGAAAGATAAATGTCAGATAATTACGTAAATGACAAAACAATCTACATTAGGTTATTAAGAATGCCAGAAGTCAATAGTAAAGAGATTGTCTACAGATAAAACTCTGTTCCGGGTAATTAAGTTTAAAGTTTGACCAGTATTTAAATCAGTTTTCCTGTTCTTTTTTCAGCTTAGAAGAAATGCCAAATGGCATCAATTTCGAAATTATAACTAACTATATTGCGGTGAATGAGGCATTTAGCGTTGTAATTTGAAAAGTTGGTGAAAGGGAGTACTGAATTTTCGATAGCTTATAGCTAGGGCCGGATTTACGTATAAGCTACACAAGCTATAGCTTAGGGCCCCCTCTTTCTTAGGGGTCATCATAAAATTAAATTATAGTATAAATAGTATTAAAATATTGTTTCATAAGAATAAATTGAATTTAATTATATTATAACAGACTTATAAAGGGCCCTATATCGCAAATAGCTTAGGTCTTTATCAAGTCTAAATCTGGTTCTGCTTATAGCAGCCAAAAAAATTATTTGTTTGCTTTACTTCCATTTTTTTTCGTTCGTTCTAATACATTTAATTCATCTGGCTACATATCATATTCACTCTTTTAATTTATTGATTGTTTTTTGTCGTGCTAGTTACAATTGTTATCCACATACTTTTTGGTTTCATCAGTCCCATTTTATTAGCGCTGTCATCTCCATTAATAAATTCTAGAACCGACAAGAAAAAAGACTAAATGATAATGTTCGTATCACAAAAATTTGGGAAAAAAGTAGGAATGGTTAGCGCACTCTTTAGTTCTCGAGAAGCAAAGTGTACTTATATGTCAAACTATTTTTTAAATTGGATGTATGGGTGTTTTAGCAATAAGACAAATAAATAATCAGATTGTCAAAAAATAAAAGCAGTGCGTTGTCATCCAATACTTTTACCGATAATTTTAACATAAAAGCATATTATAAAGAAGAAGATTTAATAGTTGCTTCGGAGATAGCTCAACATACCAAGCAGTCTTTCGACTGCAGTTTGGAAATAAATCCAGGAATTTACTAAGATTCCAAAGTAGCTGCAAAAATATCTTGTGGTTGAACAAAATTTGAAACAGTTGTCATAAACATGCTTGGTAAAAAGGGTTAATTAATTTTAAACGATTTGTAAAAACAAGGATCCACCTCTAAATTTTTGTCTTGAAACTGCTTGGTGTACGTTCATTATTTTAATATGGAATTCGGCAAAGTGAATTATATGATTGATTTTTTGACAATTTAGATGAAATAGGAGTTGGACAGTTTCAATGTTTAAAAAATGCAATAAAAAATTTCCAGTTAGCATGAACAAGAATTTGTTTTAATGCATATAATGCAAATTGTAATTTTGGAATAAGGGATTTCTTGTATACAAACATCTTTACATTAAAATGAAGCTAATTGCAGTGTTCACATTATACAGTCAAAAGTCGTTAATCCGGACTCGTCGGGACTTCGGCGATTCCGGATTATCGATTTTTCCGGATTATAGATCATCAGTTTAAATCTGGTAAAATGGCATGCAGAAATTATAAAATTAAAAATATGAAACCGTAATTTACGAAATAAAGAACAATTATGATCTAAAGGGTATCAAAATTTACAAAAAAAAAAAAACAAAAAAAAAGCTTAATATTTATTTGTTTACTTTATTAAACATTTCTTTCAATGTAAGTTGTTTAAGTTGCTTCGTTTTTTATGTGATAATACATTCTCTTTAATTCCATAAACAGACATAATTTCTTGTTCAGTTACAAAGTTCCGCTGTTCAAGTCCTATAATTGCTGTGTCGAGAATAACGACTAATTTGTCAATCGAAATTTTTTCGTTTTCAATAACCTCTGTCACTTTCTTCGCTATCGGAAGCGAATTATAATGACGAGGCATTTGATTTAAATCATATCAAAGACGGAGTACATCGAGAGGAAATACCACATTTAGTAAGCAATTATAAGCCAAATAAAATAAAAACATCTGCCCTTAAGATAAGGATAGTGTTGACAGATCAACTTCCAATTCATTGCGCTCCGCCGCGTTAAAGATAAACAAAGTTTAGATAAACAAACGTTAAAGTTTAGATAAACAAAAGGATATCCCTGTATCCATTTTTTGCAGCAATTCCACTTTTTGTTTAATGGACTCCGAAAGATATTTTCGCTTTGTATATCCTTTACATATGAGTAAATATATTTCGGAAATTCTATTTGAAATAATCGAAAGTTCAAGCTTACTTTTATAAAATTGCTCTAACAGTCTGCAAAAAATAATAAGCCGGATCCAATTCGAAGGTTAAGGAACAACGCAATCTGCAGCATTAACTGAAATAGATAATTAGATAATTTTAGCTTAGCTTATCCCGTCCGTTATACATTAAACGCGCATTCGTAAACGTATTTTGCACACACAAATTCGCAGCCGTAAACGTCTTACGCGCA